AGTTTATAATTCCAATCACCCCTAACAAATATGCAATTGTTTTTGATGCGATTCCAATGGTGGCTTTATTGTTTTTGAAAAATTCCTCTGCGTTGATGTCAGTACAATAGATTTACATGATTATCTATTCTTTGAAAGTATTAACATCCTCATGTATAAATATTGTAATAAACAGATTAAGAATTGTTTGATACTACATTTCCCTCAACAAGATTTTTTTGGTCGAATATCTATGGTGATATACAATGGGGGAAAACATGAAAGTTTCCTAACAAATGTCGTATCAGCAAAAATGTAAAGGAAGTTTGATTTCGAATGTTACATAGAATGTATCCTGTGAAACATGTTTTGGAAAGATTCAAGTTGAATATTGATTATAACTGTGATTTCTGTGGATTGAAGAAGTAGACAATTTTTCATTTATTTTTACCTGTATTTATAGTAGAATGTTTTGCATCAGGGCCAGGCATAAGGAATTCAGTCAGGGTCTGAATTTACTGTTGAGAGTTACAATAGTAGAATACACAAGGTGTAAATTCAAAATATGGTTGTGCATCTGCAGTTTTTCTCTTGTTATGTCAGTCACTGACAGTCACTCAATTAGCCATGTCAGCTTACAATTTTTAGATTGGTAAATTAGTATAGCCAGTTATCTAAACTTGTAGTAATCATGGCTGGATACTGACCAGGCACGCAGGGCAAGTGCCCAGGGGCTCTGACCTCCATGCGCCCCATTGATTTTGTCACTCTCTCTCAGATATCATTGACATGGCATAAGTCATGGCAAACTGTGTATAATTGCAGGAAATTAGCTTTAAAACGGCAAAAATGTCTCTATGCCCCATGGCAAAATAGGCAGAATTGCATGAAATTTGTTATAAAATTGCTACATTTTTTCTACACCCCATGGCCAATCAAATCTCACTTAGGGCCCCCAAAAGTCTAGAGTCGGCCATGTTTTGGATTGACATAGAGAACTTTGTTAAAAAACAAACAGGCCATGTGATAAAATTGAATGGTTTTGATATAATGATTTATTTCAGAAAAAATAAATAAAATAAATAATAAAAAATTTGTAAAGTGGTTATCCCACTGGCTATAGGGTGAATGCACCTTAATTTGTAAGTCGCTCTGGATAAAAGCGTCTGCTAAATGACGTAAATGTAAATGTAAATTTATAAGGATGTAGTATATTTAATTCAACTGCTAATAATTATAGGTCAATTGCATATTCACAAAAACAAATGGTCTGATTCAAAACCTAACATTTTTCATTTTATAAATGAATTTAAACAATATGGCACTACTTTAACTAAAAGGCAGTAAAAACCTGCATTATTAGTGAATATGATTTGTTTGTGTAGAATCCCTGGCAATGTTAAAAGTTTGTAAGTATATTTTTTGTATGTGACTATTTCTCTTTCGCTTGTTGATGTTTGTTAATATGTTTGTTAATAAAGATGTATTTTATTTATTTTAAGTTTTGCACATTGTAATGAATACTCGGACAGAGTGGTAAGATCCAATCGCAGAATTGCGATGCTTTATTAGAGTACAGACAAGGGAATAGCTTAATCGTAGTCGGGCGGGCTGTGGTCAAAATCGGGCCAGGCAGAGACAGGCAGAGGTACCAAGGGAGCGGGCGTAGTAGTAGTCGAGGGCACAGGCACAGGGTCAGAGTACGGTAATCACTGGGATAGACAAGCAGAGGATTAAGCAATACGGGGAGTCAAACAACAAGGCACAGGTCGGATACACGGGTAATCAAAAACAACAAACTCTCTCTCTCTCTCTCGGAACAAAACACTTAGCAAGTCACAATGGAACAATACCTCGCACCAACTGAACTTCTGAGCACACCTTATATCCTACCCTAATTATGGACAGGTGTGCTCAGAACTCAGGTGAACCAGATCGAGTCTGATGACTCCCCCTCTCAGTAGATCGGGAAAGTGTCAGACTCTGTCTAGACCCAGCCAACCCCCGATCCCTTACAGTATCCCCCTCCCCAGGGCCGGCTCCTGACGGCCTTCTACCTCTACCGGGTGGTCTTCCTCTGGGTCGGGGTCCTGGATGATCTGGGTGTTCAGCGTGGAAAGTGGCCTTGAGAGCGGGATCTAGTATGTCCTTAGCAGGGACCCAGGACCGTTCCTCAGGTCCATATCCCTCCCAGTCCACGAGATATTCGATGCCCCCTCGTCTCCGTCTTGACTCCAGTATCTCGTGGACTGTATAGGTGGTGTCCTGTTCCTCCTCCAAAGGTGGTGTAGTAGGTTGTTGAGCGATGGGGGGGTACATCGGGCTATAGTGGACAGGTTTCAACAGGGAGACGTGGAACGTAGGGTTTATCCTGTAGTGTCGAGGGAGTAACAGACGGTAGGTGACAGGGTTAATACGTCTCTGTACCTTGAAAGGACCGATGTACCTGGGTTGGAGCTTCTTGCAGCTCCGTCGGAACCGCAGGTCTCGGGTAGACAGCCACACTCGTTGCCCGGGTTGATAAGTGGGAGTAGGTCTCCGGCGTTGGTCGGCGTAGGTCTTTTGCTGTTGTGAGGCCTGACTGAGATGTTGATGGGCCGTCTCCCAGACCTGCGCACTCCGACGGAACCACTCGTCCACCGCCGGTACCATCCCGGGTGCGGTATCCCACGGGAACAGGGGTGGTTGATACCCTAGAACACACTGGAAGGGCGTTAGACGTAGGGAGGTGTGAATGAGTGAGTTCTGAGCATACTCTACCCACGGAAGGAATCGTCTCCACTCTTGCGGCTGCTGCGAACATTGTTGCTGTAGATACTTCCCAATTTCCTGGTTGAGCCGTTCTGTCTGCCCATTGGCCTGGGGATGATATCCGGAGGTGAGGCTCACCGAGATGCCCAAGCGTTCGCAGAAGGCCTTCCATACCCAGGATACGAACTGGGGTCCCCGGTCGTAAAAACAATATCCTCCGGAACACCAAACTGCCGGAACACCTGGTTAAACATAGTCTCAGCCATCTGAGTGGCGTTAGGTAAACGGGTCATGGGTACCAACCGGCACATCTTGGAGAATCGATCGATGACCACGAGAATTACAGTATGGCCCTCCGATTCTGGTAGATCGGTAACAAAGTCCATAGCAATGTGCGACCAGGGTCGTTGAGGAGTAGGCAATGGCATCAGCTTACCCTCCGGTAGTGCTCGAGGCGCCTTGGACTGAGCACATACTGGGCAGGATAATACGTAGTCTCTGACGTCATCTGTGAGGGAATCCCACCAGTATTTTCGACTGATGAGTCGTGTAGTTCGAGTGATTCCGGGATGACCAGATCCTAGCGACGTGTGGCACCATTCCATCAGTTGCGGTCGAAGCGGAGCTGGTACAAACACCTTCGACACCGGGGTTTCTGGAGGGGCTGGTTCCGCTTGGAGGCTCTCCTGAATAGTGTCATCGATAGCCCACCTCACCGGACCAGCACGGCAACTCATGGGGAGGATAGGTTCTGGTTCCACGGGTCTTTCCGCGCGCTCGAACCGTCGGGAAAGCGCGTCTGCCTTACAATTCTTGGACCCGGGAATATAAGAGACAGTGAATTGGAAACGGTTGAAGAATAACGACCACCTTGCCTGTCGGGAGTTCAGTCGTTTAGCACTGTGAAGATACTCCAGATTGCGGTGGTCCGTGAGCACTTGGAACGGATGATCTGCTCCCTCCAGCCAATGTCTCCACTCCTCCAGTGCTAACTTCACCGACAGTAATTCCCGATTTCCCACGTCGTAGTTCTGCTCGGCCGGATTCAGCTTCTTAGAAAAAAAAGCACAGGGTCGTGATTTGGGTGGCTCACCTTGGCGCTGGGATAGCACGGCTCCAACTCCAACCTCCGAGGCGTCCACCTCCATGATAAACGGCAAGGTAGGATCCGGCTGATATAAAATGGGAGCGGTGGTAAAGCGTTGTTTCAGTGTCTCAAAGCCCGCACTGCCCCCTCCGTCCATTTCAGACCACGACCCTTGTAGCTGGTCATCGCCGACAGGGGAGCTGCGGTTGTGCTGAAATTACGCACGAACCGTCTATAGTAATTGGCAAACCCTAAGAATCTCTGGAGCTCTTTCACCGTCTGGGGTTGAGGCCAGTCTCGTACAGCTTGTACCTTGGATTCATCCAGTTTTACCCCGTCGGGAGTGAGTATGGCCCCAAGGAAGGAAATCGCAGTGACATGGAATTCACTCTTTTCGGCCTTCACAAACAGAGAGTGTTGTCGGAGTCGGTCCAGAACCTGTCGTACATAGGACACATGTTCACTCAGAGAGTTAGAGTAGATTAGGATGTCATCAATGTACACTATAACAAAGCGATCAATCAAGTCCCTGAAAATGTCGTTCATGAACGCCTGGAACACAGAGGGCGCGTTAGTAAGTCCATAGGGCATGACACAATATTCATAATGTCCTCGATGGGTGATGAAGGCGGTCTTCCATTCATCCCCTTCTCTAATGCGCACCAGATTGTACGCACTCCTGAGGCCCAGTTTACTGTAGATGGAGGCCTGCCCCACCTGCTCGAGGGCTGCTGGAATCAAAGGAAGCGGGTAACGATTTTTAATGGTAATATCGTTCAAACCTCGATAGTCTATACAAGGACGTAGTCCGCCATCCTTTTTCTTAACAAAGAAAAAACTGGATGCGGCGGGAGACGTAGATGGGCGAATGGCCCCTTGCTGTAATGCCTCATCAATATACTTGCTCATAGATTCTTGTTCCGGCTGTGACAAAGGGTAGATTCTTCCGCAAGGAGGTGTAGCCCCGGATAGCAGATCAATTGCACAGTCCCAGGCCCGATGCGGTGGTAACACGGTAGCCCTCTCTTTGGAGAACACCTGCGCGTAATCCTGGTACTCTGTAGGAACAACAGTAGACACCGCACCCTGCGCATCCTCCACAGTAGACGTTTTGCAAGGTAAATTGAGGCACTCTGCCCTACATACCTCACTCCAAGCCGTGATATCGCCAGATCTCCAGGAGATGACCGGATCATGGGTAACGAGCCAGGGGTGGCCGAGGACTAGCGGCTCCCGTGGAGTGGAGATGACGAACAGAATGATGTTCTCATGGTGCAGGGAGCCCACTTGTAACTTTATTTCCTCGGTACGGTGCGTAATGAACCCAGTGCCCATGGGCTCACCGTCTAGCGCGTTGACTCGCAGGGGAGGTTGAATTGGGATAAGTTGAACTCCCAATTCCTCAGCGAGACCCACATCCATAAAACTGGCAGCCGCCCCGGAATCAATAAGACCTTCCAATCTGCACACTCTCTCTCCAACAGATAAGGTAACTGGCACATACATTTGTTTAGATGTGATGTTGAAAACGTGAGTCTCACTCACCGGTTTGGCAGTTCCGAGGCGATATTCTGGGGTACGGTTTGGTCGTACCGGACATTGCCGAATGAAATGACCCGACTGACCACAATACAGGCATAGTCCGTCTTGCCGACGTTGTTGTCTCACCGAACCCTGTAGGGGTGACCGTCCCAGTTGCATAGGTTCCTCCTCCGATTCTCTCCTCCGCTCTGACGATTGCGTAGGACCAGTGACCGAGGGCTCCCGGACTGTGGATACCTTGTGTTGCACTATCAGATTATCAATAGAGATGGCGATGTTGATAAACTCATGTAGCGCAGTGATATCTCCTCGACAAGCCAACTCAGTCTGTACGTCTTTGCGCAGCCCTCTACGGAAAACGGTGAGCAAAGCAGTCTCGCTCCATCCGCTACCGGCTGCTATAGTACGGAACTCTAAAGCGTAGTCGGCTACTGTGCGACGGCCCTGCTGAAGTTCGCATAGTTGGTCCCCCACACTACGCCCAGATACTAGGTGGTCGAACACCTCTTGGAACAGTCTTTTGAACTGAACTTCCGCATTCAACTCGGGGACCTCAGCTGCCCAAAGCGCAGTAGCCCAATCCAGTGCTCTTCCCGTTAGCAGCGAAATCATGAAATCCACCCTGCTACGGTCATCGGAAAACATAGTACGATTATACGACATATACAGGGACGTCTGGAGTAGAAACCCCTGACATTTGCCAGGTTCCCCGTCGTACCTTGTCGGTAGAGAAATCGGAGGTGCATGACGAGGACTGACCGGGCTCGGGGTGGTGCCTTCAGCCGCACCAGCGTTGAGTAGTTGCAGGAGTTCATCCATCCGTTTCTCCTGTATCTCCCATTGCCTCTGTAATTCCGCTGGATCCATGGTTCAGGCGAGGTATTCTGTAATGAATACTCGGACAGAGTGGTAAGATCCAATCGCAGAATTGCGATGCTTTATTAGAGTACAGACAAGGGAATAGCTTAATCGTAGTCGGGCGGCTGTGGTCAAAACCGGGCCAGGCAGAGACAGGCAGAGGTACCAAGGGAGCGGGCGTAGTAGTAGTCGAGGGCACAGGCACAGGGTCAGAGTACGGTAATCACTGGGATAGACAAGCAGAGGATTAAGCAATACGGGGAGTCAAACAACAAGGCACAGGTCGGATACACGGGTAATCAAAAACAACAATCTCTCTCTCTCTCTCTCTCTCTCTCTCTCTCTCCTCTCTCTCTCTCTCTCTCTCTCTCTCTCTCTCTCTATCTCTCTCTCCTCTCTCTCTCTCTCTCTCTCTCTCCCTCTCTCTCTCTCCTCTCTCTCTCTCTCTCTCTCTCTCTCCTCTCCTCGGAACAAAACGCTTAGCAAGTCACAATGGAACAATACCTCGCACCGACTGAACTTCTGAGCACACCTTATATCCTACCCTAATTATGGACAGGTGTGCTCAGAACTCAGGTGAACCAGATCGAGTCTGATGACTCCCCCTCTCAGTAGATCGGGGAAGTGTCAGACTCTGTCTAGACCCGGCCAACCCCCGATCCCTTACACACATGATATCGGTGCAGTATCAGTACGGACCCAGTTTGACAGCGCAAAAAGGTAGGGTCATATCAAAGACAATACAGTACAATATAGAGCTGTGAGGAGGAGGAGCTCCGTGGACCCTTCATGTCCGGAAGTAATTTAGCCATTCATTGTAGCCATTGGCGCTCTGTCGAGTTGCTATTTTTCTCAGGTTCTCTCATGTCAATTAACTCGTGATATTCCTGGATTACTTATTATACTAATAAAGTCTTATTTAATCAACAAATATGATAGTCAGTTTAAAAAAGGTTATGGGTACAAGACTGTGTATATATCTGACTGTGTTGGCAAAATGACTACAAATCCCATCGAGCCAAGTGGGGAGAGGTTGCCGTTGTCACAGTTCCAAGACCAGTCAGAAATGTCCAGCTAGGGGCCTCCCGAGTGCCGCAGCGTTTTAAGGCAATGCATTGCAGTGCTAGAGGAATCACTACAGACCCGGGTTCGAGCCCGGGCTGTATTACAGCCGTAATCGGGAGTCCCATAGGGCGGTGCACAATTAGCCCAGCGTCGTCCAGGTTAGGTTAGGGGACGGTTTGGCCGGGGGGGGGGCTTTACTTGGCTCATTGCACTCTAGCGACTCCTTATGGCGGGCCGGGTGCCTGCAGGTTTCCTCCGACACACTGGCTTCCGGGTTAAGCGGGCTGGTGTTAAGAAGCGCGGTTTGGCCGGTTATGTTTCGGAGGACGCATGACTCGACCTTCGCCGCCCGTTGGGGAGTTGCAGCGATGAGACAAGATCAAAATTGTAAAAAGATCCAGCTAATCCTACGCCAATTAGGCCGGTGGATCTCAAAACTGAACTTGGATCCGCGTTAAGTAACAATTATATCCTTTTCCACCGTTGTCTTGCGACATGACAGATAGCTCGAACCAGTCATGACTATTCAACAAAACAATAAATCATATAATTTCAAAAGATAAGGTACAAATGCTTTAATTAGAAACAATGCTATTAATGACAATTTAAAAAGCTTCTATGAAAATCTATATAAATCTACATTTAACAATAGTTGGACTGATCCTACAGCCTTCTTAGACTCAACAATTATTTAGCAACTATCAGCAGACAAAGAATAATAAATATTAGATATTTAAAACATTCACGTGGAGAAACGCACCAGATATGGATGGCTTTCCCATATAATTTAATTTAATATTCTGGGACCAAGTAACGCCCCTATTTACACAAATGACAACACACGTCACTCAATTCCGTGTTTCCTAGTTCCATGTATCAAACAATTATTTCAGTTATATTAAAAACAGGAAAATCGGGATTCTCCCGAAGACTACAGACCCATAAATGTAATAAATTGCAACAATAAAATAAAAACAAAGCTCATAAGCAACAGAATGGCAAAATTCTTAGACTTGATACATATTAATCAAACAGGGTTTATTAAAAATAGACATTTACAAACAAATACAAGAACATGTTTCAGTATAAAACAATACGCAAAAAAACCAAGATCTAGATTTATCAATAGTAGATGTCGAAAAGGCTTTTGACCGTCTTGAATGGCCTTTTCTATACAAAACTTTGGAAGCTTTCAACTTTCCAGCTAAAATAATACATTTCATAAAAATATTACAGTATATAAATATCCTAAAGCAAAAATATCAACAAATAATACAAGACATGGATGTCCTCTCTCCCTCCTCCTGTTTGCACTGGCAATTGAACCACTTGCAGAAAGAATTAGACAGGACCCAAACATAACAAATATTAGTGTTGGTAAACATGAATATAAACTAAGCTTATTTGCAGATTATCTCCTGATTTACCTGACCAATATTGAAAACTCAATACTTAGGATACTTAACCCATTACAGTCTAAGCCCCGTCTAAGCTAGGGGAGGGAGTCTACTAAACTATATGGAATTGTTTTAAGAAGGTCGTACCAATGATCATTTAGCTATTTGATTTTGAATTTTAAGACCACTTGAAGTATAAACAAATATATTATAATAATATTTGATTTTAAAAAATGGCCTTACTGCTATTAGCCCATACAAACGCATTGAATAACAGATTTGCTACATTGAACAACAGATGTACCGACTTCAGACAGGTCCCAAGCCGCCTGTGGGGGTAGTAGAGCAAAATGGTGCTTGTGAGAGTCTCATCATTCCATACAGGGATGTGGAAGTGCTACATCGGTGGATGTGGTGGATTGAGACCAGTGGGGATTTTAACATGTAAATCTTGGTAGGGCAAAATCTTTTTTTTTTTTAGATGCATGCCAGCAAAGCCACTACACAACACAACACAAAACAATAAATTAATTGCACTATAACGGTGACAAACGGTGACAAACGGTGCCCACAAACTGTTAGGGCCTACATAAAGCTGTCCCAACAGCAGAGCTTTCTTTTCAGCACCATTGAGTGAATCCTTACCACCGCTACACCTGGCTATCAGCGGAGCCTTGTCTGGCAGCAAAACAGTTAATTAAGCCTAATTTACTGCCTTTTTAAAAAACATAGCTGATATGGCTGACTTGCTTACACAAATGTGGTTTCTACTGACAATTGAGATGTACAAACTATGGCGTAAGGGAACGATGAGCGGATAAGAGGCAATCTGTAATTTCGATTAAGACATTAATGAGCGAGCTAAGATGAACGTAGTCAACATAACTATTTGTTCAGCACTTTTGAAAAGTGCAGTGACAGAATTCAGAACATGGGCTGTTCTTACAGTATTCTCCCTGTACACCAAGTCAGAACCATAGGATAAATAAAGGGGCATATACAGTGGGGGAAAAAAGTATTTAGTCAGCCACCAATTGTGCAAGTTCTCCCACTTAAAAAGATGAGAGAGGCCTGTAATTTTCATCATAGGTATACGTCAACTATGACAGACAAAATGAGAAAATAAAATCCAGAAAATTACATTGTAGGATTTTTAATGAATTTATTTGCAAATTATGGTGGAAAATAAGTATTTGGTCACCTACAAACAAGCAAGATTTCTGGCTCTCACAGACCTGTAACTTCTTCTTTAAGAGGCTCCTCTGTCCTCCACTCGTTACCTGTATTAATGGCACCTGTTTGAACTTGTTATCAGTATAAAAGACACCTGTCCACAACCTCAAACAGTCACACTCCAAACTCCACTATGGCCAAGACCAAAGAGCTGTCAAAGGACACCAGAAACAAAATTGTAGACCTGCACCAGGCTGGGAAGACTGAATCTGCAATAGATAAGCAGCTTGGTTTGAAGAAATCAATGTGGGAGCAATTATTAGGAAATGGAAGACATACTAGACCACTGATAATCTCCTTCGATCTGGGGCTCCACGCAAGATCTCACCCCGTGGGGTCAAAATGATCACAAGAACGGTGAGCAAAAATCCCAGAACCACACAGGGGGACCTAGTGAATGACCTGCAGAGAGCTGGGACCAAAGTAAAAAATCCTACCATCAGTAACACACTACGCCGCCAGGGACTCAAATCCTGCAGTGCCAGACGTGTCCCCCTGCTTAAGCCAGTACATGTCCAGGCCCGTCTGAAGTTTGCTGATGATCCAGAAGAGGATTGGGAGAATGTCATATGGTCAGATGAAACCAAAATATAACTTTTTGGTAAAAACTCAACTCGTCGTGTTTGGAGGATAAAGAATGCTGAGTTGCATCCAAAGAACACCATACCTACTGTGAAGCATGGGGGTGGAAACATCATGCTTTGGGGCTGTTTTTCTGCAAAAGGACCAGGACGACTGATCCGTGTAAAGGAAAGAATGAATGGGGCCATGTATCGTGAGATTTTGAGTGAAAACCTCCTTCCATCAGCAAGGGCATTGAAGATGAAACGTGGCTGGGTCTTTCAGCATGACAATGATCCCAAACACACCGCCCGGGCAACGAAGGAGTGGCTTCGTAAGAAGCATTTCAAGGTCCTGGAGTGGCCTAGCCAGTCTCCAGATCTCAACCCCATAGAAAATCTTTGGAGGGAGTTGAAAGTCCGTGTTGCCCAGCGACAGCCCCAAAACATCACTGCTCTAGAGGAGATCTGCATGGAGGAATGGGCCAAAATACCAGCAACAGTGTGTGAAAACCTTGTGAAGACTTACAGATAACGTTTGACCTGTGTCATTGCCAACAAAGGGTATATAACAAAGTATTGAGAAACTTTTGTTATTGACAAAATACTTATTTTCCACCATAATTTGCAAATAAATTCATTAAAAATCCTACAATGTAATTTTCTGGATTTTATTTTCTCATTTTGTCTGTCATAGTTGACGTATACCTATGATGAAAATTACAGGCCTCTCTCATCTTTTTAAGTGGGAGGACTTGCACAATTGGTGGCTGACTAAATACTTTTTTTCGCCACTGTAAGCAGACAATGAAAGCTCTTACAAGATTTGATGATGACATTTCTCTAAAACATGCTACATGTCACCACCAAGTCAGAACAGTAGGATAAGTTATGAGGGGGAAAGGGACCAAATTAGTATTACTTTCTTAGCTACAGTATACATATCTCACTGGCATATTACATCATTTATGCAGCAGCATAAAATACATTTTTGGACTCACCTTGTTGTGCTGTGCTCACTTGAACAGGAAGGTGGCGCGGCAGTCCGTCTTGTGGGGAAATTTTGTCATGAAACTTCGTCTTCAAAATCTGGCATTTTCTGGATTTATGGTTCTTTCAAGACAACTGGGAAAAAACAAGGTTGAATCATGACGTCAGTGATCTTCAGGTCGGAGCTTTAGAAAGAGGCCCGAGTTCCCGACTTGGAATTCCAAGTTGGATAACCGTTCAAAATGTATTTTCCAAGTCGGAGCTCGTCTTTTTCCGAGTTCCCAGTTGTTTTGAGCTCACTGAAGTCTGACATTTCCCAGTTCAGAGTTTCCAGTTGTTTTGAACGCTGCAGTAGTCATGCTGAAGTCAACCTTTTCTGGCCAATGGTGTTGAGTGTGAATGTTTATCCTTTTAAGCTTGGAAAACCCAGACTTGTAACACACACCCTCTCCACCGAATAGCAGGCAGAGGAAGCAAAATCAGGATTGCTTTACAACGCTTGCAGTTAGCCACCGATTCCTTCCAAACCACTCATTGTTGAATTTGCGATTTCCAACTTGTTGTGTAATGTTTATTTCCAATGGCCGATGAGCACCGATACGTTTTATCTATAATTTCTCTTCATATGACAAGGATTGAAAAGTATTTGCCAGTAGATTGTCGACGTTATTCATGATGATGACTGCTTGTCTAGCTTGCTAGCTAGGATTGTGAAAGTATGATGTTGACATGATCAGTCCAATCAAAGCTACGGTAGATATAATGTGATTTGACGTCATTTTATCTGTGGCCAATGACCTTGATCCTTCTTCGATGGGCACTTCTAATGTAAATCTATAAAGCAGAAAATAGACCATGTTTGTTTTTATTTTGATACTGCCCCCCCATGGGAATCGAACCCACAACCCTGGCATTGCAAACACCATGCTCTACCAACTGAGCTACATCCCTGCAGCCCATTCCCTCCCATACCCTGGGCCAATTGTGGGCCGCCCCATGGGTCTCCCGGTCACATCCAGCTGGATTCGAACCAGGATCTGTAGTGGCATAGATAGCACTGCGATGCAGTGCCTTAGACCACTGCGCCACTCGGGAGATATTAGTTCACCTGTTTCTTTGTGTTCTTGAACGTAGCCCTGTCTTTCATTTTTGTTCATTTATTTTACCTGTATGATTATTAACTCAATATAATAATTTTTTACATTGTTTGCAAACTGATATGTGACACGTATTAATGGCAAAATAACAGGCTCTGCCCCACCTTCCCTGAATGATGGGTCGCCACTGATTGAGACTCATCCAATGCAATTAACCAGATGCTGTAGCTCTAGCTTAAACTGACAGATTTTTATGGGGATTTTTTTATTACGCTAATTGATGTTCGCGGGGCGCGGACATCAACTCTAAGGGTTAATAAGTGACATACAACAAACATATAAAGATAATGTAATCCCATTACTCAACAATGTAATGAATACTCAGGGAGAAGATTCACGCGCAGAGCGCAGCAGGTGTTTATTACGCCTTCGTAGAAGGCAGGAATCGTGGTCACAGGCAGGCAATGGTCATACACAGGTAGGCAAACAGGCAGGTGAAACAAAACTAGGATGGAAAGCTAAACTGGTTCTCACAAACGAGCTAGGAAAATGCTTAGCAGAGTCAAAACGAACAATACATCACAAGGCACAAACAGAAAGAACTGAACTAAATAAGCAGCTGATGAGACCAGGTGAGTAACTAACACAGGTGAAATCAATGAACAAAAATGAAAGACAGGGCTACGTTCAAGAACACAAAGAAACAGGGCTACGTACAAGAACACAAGGTGAACTAAGAAAACAAATACAGAACCTTACAAACAAAATGAAAGCAGATCTATTTAAATGGACAATCTTCCCATAAATCTTACAGGTACAATAAACTCCTCAGAATGGCATGGCTACCAAAGTTTTTATATTTATTCTCGGTAATACTAATTACCCAACCGAAGACATTCTTTAAAAATATATACTCGGCCATAACAGACTTTATATGGGAAAATAAAACTCATAGAATAAAAAGTGAAGTTTTATATCTCCCAAAGTGAGTGTGGTTTTGACCTCCCAGGCTTGGAATTGTATCAACTTGCCACCCAAGTCGTTTACTTGAGACATATTGTTAAATGTACTAAAGAGGAACAATGGGTACATATTGAAGATGCGCATGCTCACCCCCAGAATCTTTTCATGTGTCTTTTTTCAAAGGATAAAGCTAAGCACATGTCACGACTTCCACAGACTAATGGGGATATGAACCAGGTGTGTGTAATTGACAAGACAAGACAAATGGAATGATGATATATGGAGCGGCAGTGGCTAGTAAGCCGGTGACGACGAACGCCGAAGCCTGCCCGAACAAGGAGGGGAGGCAGCCTCTGCGTTCGTCGTCACCGGCTTACTAGCCACTGCCGCTCCATATATCATCATTCCATTTGTCTTGTCTTGTCAATTACACACACCTGGTTCATATCCCCTCATTAGTCTGTGTATAAGTGTTCCCTCTGCCCCCTTGTCCTTGTGGGTGATTGTTTTATGTGAAGATGAGTGTAGCTCGGTTGAGCTACCCTTACTTTGGATTGCCGGGGTTATTTCTCCCCGTGTGCCTGTATTGTTTTCCAGTGTGCCTGTATTACGCCCTGTGTTGTTGACGCTATCCAGCGTAACTGTGTCCTATGGAATAAACTCTGTATTCGGTGATTTACCCTCCTGCGCCTGACTCCTTCAAATCACACTCTCACAGCACATTAACAACTTCATAGTTAAAAACATTATAACAATATGGAAGAAAATGAAACAGATTCTACAAGAATCAATATCACTCCCAAAAAACTCAACCCTATGGAACAATCCTTCGATAGCTTTTCAGAATGCACCGATGAATTGGTCCATATGGAAAACTAAGGCATAGAAACCGTAAATGACTTAGTAAAAGAAATACATTTATTTCCATGACAGAATTAAAAAGCAATTTTGGACTGACCAATAAAGATATTTTCAAATACATGCAACTTTAAAGTGTTATATCACGAAATTTGGATTTAAAATATTTTGGACATCAGAGCAATCTTGAAGGAACCTTGCAGAGAGTCTATCCAACTGACAACCTCTTAGGAAAACAATATTAACTATTGGAACCAAGACTTAAAAATAACTGATATTGGCACAAGATGGAGGGAATGCTGGAACATTCTAACTAAATTACAGGGAACGAAAACGTATGCTCAATCCAGTATAAACTAATGTATATAATTTATTATACAAGAGACAAAATTCACAAATTCTACAGCACAAGACAGAGTCATGTCTTAAGTGTAAAACTAACAATGACTCAATAATGGGAATGCAATAAAGTCCAAAAGTTATGGGCGGGGTTAGATTTAAAAAATATTTATATTTTATGCATATTTCAAGACATGTCATATGGGGCAGTGAGATACCCGATGGGTTGGAAAATACTCCTCTTGTAATTGTCTACTTAAAAACTGGAAATCAACCATTCCTCCATCGTTAAGACAATGGAAAAATCATTTGCTTCATTATCTGAATATTGAAGAGCGTGGATGACGCAAAGGAACAAAATGGTGCAATTTGAGGACATGTGGCTGAGAGTAGTGCAGGCACTGGAGATAGGGGAGAGAACAGGTGGGTCTGTGCAGGAGTGATGTTGTTGATGTTTGTGTGCATCTGTATGTTGCCTTTTGTATGTGTATGTTTTGTTTATACTGTTAGATAATAATAATATATATATATATATACAGTACCAGTCAAAGGTTTGGGCACACCTACTCATTCCAGGGTTTTTCTTTATCTTTACTATTTTCTACATTGTAGAATAATAGTGAAGACATCAAAACTATGAAATAACACACATGGAATCATGTATAATCAAAAAAGTGTTAAACAAATCAAAATATATTTTATATTTGAGATTCTTCAAATAGCCACCCTTGATGACAGCTTTGCACACTATTGGCATTCTCTCAACTAGCTTCACCTGGAATGCTTTTGCAACTGTCTTGAAGGAGTTCCCACATATGCTGAGGACTTGTTGACTGCTTTTCCTTCACTCTGCAGTCCGACTCATCCCAAATCATCTCAATTGGGTTGAGGTCCGGGGATTTTGGAGGCCAGGTCATCTCTGTAGCTCAGCTGGTAGAGCACGGCGCTTGTAATGCCAAGGTAGTGGGTTCGAACCCCGGGACCACCCATACACAAAAAAATGTATGCACGCATTACTGTAAGTCGCTTTGGAAAAAACGTCTGCGAAATGGCATATTATTATTATTATTATTATGCAGCACTCCATCACTCTCCTTCTTGGTCAAATAACCCTTACACAGCCTGAAGGTGTGTTGGGTCATTGTCCTGTTGAAAAACAAATGATAGTCCCACTAAGCCGAAACCAGATGGGATGGCGTATCGCTGCAGAATGCTGTTGTAGCCATGCTGTTTAAGTGTGCCTTGAATTCTAAATAAATCACAGACAGTGTCACCAGCAAAGCACCCCCACATCATAACACCTCCTCCTCCATGCTTTACGGTGGGAAATACAGTGCCTTGCAAAAGTATTCATCCCCCTTGGTGTTTTTCATATTTTGTTGCATTACAACCTGTAATTTAAATGGATTTTTATTTGGATTTCATGTAATGGACACCCCCTTTGCTATGAAGCCCCTAAATAAGATCTGGTGCAACCAATTACCTTCAGAAGTCACATAATTAGTTAAATAAAGTCCACCTGTGTGCAATCTAAGTGTCACATGATCTGTCACGTGATCTATATATAAACCTGTTCTGAAAGGCCCCAGAGTCTGCAACACAACTAAGCAAGTGGCACCACCAAGCAAACAGCACCATGAAGACCAATGAGCTCTCCAAACAGGTCAGGGATAAAGTTGTGGAGAAGCACAGATCAGGTTGGGTTATAAAAAATATCAGAACCTTTGAACATCCCACAGAGCACCATTAAATCCATAATTATAAAATGGAAAGAATATGGCACCACAACAAACCTGCCAAGAGAGGGCTGCCCACCAAAACTCACGGACCAGGCAAGGAGGGCATTAATCAGAGAGGCAACAAAGAGACCAAAGATAACCCTGAAGGAGCTGCAAAGCTCCACAGCGGAGATTGGAGTATCTGTCCATAGGACACTTTAAGCTGTACGCTCCACAGAGCTGGGCTTCACGGAAGAGTGGCCAGAAAAAAGCCATTGCTTAAAGAAAAAAATAAGCAAGAACGTTTGGTGTTTACCAAAAGGCATGTGGGAGACTCCCCAAACATATGGAAGAAGGTACTCTGATCAGATGAGATTAAAATTGAGCTTTTTGGCCCTGCCGATGAACACCATCCCCACAGTGAAGCATGGTGGTGGCAGCATCATGCTGTGGGGATGTTTTTCATTGGCAGGGACTGGGAAACTGGTCAGAATTGAAGGAATGATGGATGGCGCTAAATACAGGGAAATTCTTGAGGGAAACCTGTTTCTGTCTTCCAGAGATTTCAGACTGGGTCGGAGGTTCACCTTCCAGCAGGACAATGACCCTAAGCATACTGCTAAAGCAACACTCGAGTGGTTTAGGAGGAAACATTTAAATATCTTGGAATGGCCTAGTCAAAGCCCAGACCTCAATCCAATTGAGAATCTGTGGTATGACTTAAAGATTGCTGTACACCAGCAGAACCCATCCAACTTGAAGGAGCTGGGAGTTTTGTAAATTTTTCAAGGCAAAACTGTACAAAAATACCTGTGGCTAGATGTGCCAAGCTTATAGAGACATACCCCAAGAGGCTTGCAGCTGTAATTGCTGTATAAGGTGGCTCTACAAAGTAGTGACTAGTCAGGCCGCTCAAGTTTTCTGTTTTTTAGTGTTATTTCTTGTTTGTTTCACAATAAAAAATATTTTGCATCTTCAAAGTGGTAGGCATGTTGTGTAAATCAAATGATACAAACCCCCCAAAAATCCATTTAAATTCCAGGTTGTAAGGCAACAAAATAGGAAAAATGCCAAGGGGGGTGAATACTTTTGCAAGGCACTGTACAAATGTGGAGAACATCCATTCACCCACACTGCATCTCACAAAGACACAACAGTTGGAACCAAAAATCTCAAATTTGGACTTCGGACCAAAGGACACATTTCCACCGGTCTACTGTCCATTGCTCGTGTTTCTTGGCCCAAGCAAGTCTCTTCTTCTTGTTGTTGTCCTTAAGTAGTAGTTTAGTTGCAGCAATTTGACAATGAAGGGCCTGATTCACAAAGTCTACTCCGAATAGTTGATGTTGAGATGTGTCTGTTACTTCAACTCTGTGAAGCATTTATTTGGCCTGCAATTTCTGAGGCTGGTAACTCTAATGAACTTATCCTCTGCAGCAGAGGTAACTCTGGGTCTTCCATTCCTGTGGCAGTCCTCATGAGAGCCAGTTTCATCATAGCGCTTGATGGTTTTTGCAACTGTACTTGAAGAAACTTTCAAAGTTCTTGAAATGTTCCATATTGACTGACCTTCATGTCTTAAAGTAATGATGGACTGTCGTTTCTCTTTGCTTATTTGAGATGCTCTTGCCATAATATGGACTTGGTCTTTTACCAAATAGGGCTATTTCTGTATACCCCCCCTAGCTTGTCACAACACAACTGGTTGGCTCAAATGCATTAAGAAGGAAATAAATTCCACAAATGAACTTTTAAGAAGGCACAGCTGTTAATTGAAATGCATTCCAGGTGACTACCTCATGAAGCTGGTTGACAGAGTGCCAAGAGTGTGCAAAGCTGTCATCAAGGCAAAGGGTGGCTGTTTTTTGGTTACTACATGATTCCATATGTGTTATTTCATAGTTTTGATATCTTCACTATTATTCTACAATGTAGAAAACTGTAAAAATAAAGAAAATCCCTTGAATGAGTAGGTGTTGTAAAACGTTTGACTGGTAGTGTATATATATATATTATAGAGTATATTCAATTGTAAGGGGTTTCGTGAGCTACATATAAGTTAGGTAGTTAGTTACAAAACCTGCAGACCCTGTCAGATATTGTAATTTGCTTTTAATTATAATTTTGCCATCCACTTCTTGGGGATTGTGGAGAAGCGCTATTCTCACTCTAAAGACATTAAGGTTAGTCAGGAGTCTGGACTAGTTGCTTTTACAATGCTCAGTATATCATGATCATAATCATAGACAACTGATACTTTTACTTCCCCTGTTATAACAAATTGATAACCCACATATTGTTACCCAGCTAATTATTGGGATCCAAAATAACAGTGTCATGATCTGACTTGTCTTCCCTGCTTCAGCAGAGCGGCTCCAGTGAGGGGCCTGTGTATCCCTACCGGTGTGGTATGAAATGCTGAAACCCTGTCGTCAGGCAGGTGTTGTGTGGCGGTGGTCCGTGTCAGCGGTCCTGCTTCCTCCATGGTCCTGAGGAACATGGCTGGTCTGACCCAAGCCCTACCCCCTCCTTGTACTGCCCTGCTGTGGAGGATCATTGACCCCCACTCCAAAGAGCTGCTGGACCGTGGCCTGGTCCTCTGGTTCCCAGGTCAGAGGAGATCTCACAGATATTATTGGAAAAACACAATACATTTTGATTTGCATTTAAAAAAGAATAACAAACATTTCATATTAGCTGTGCTTGATCTGTACTGAAGAAGGGTGCCTCATCCAACGCTGCTGTTGTTGTTTTTGTTGTTGTTATGACTGTTGTTGTGATTTCTTTTCAGGTCCCTACAGCTTCACAGGGGAAGAGTTCCATATTCACAGAGGTCCTGCAGTCATCACAGTATTCCTACAGGCCCTAGGTAAGAGACACGTCTAAAATGGCATCCTTTTCCCTATGTAGCATGCAATACAAGTCCTCTTGTAGCATTTCCATTTGGTTGTCTGCACTGCTTTCCTTCCTGCAAACACTTTCCTTGAACTTGAGAGCAATGTTGTCAGCTTCCTTGCAATGTTAATGTTTGGCTGTTAGAGGGCAGTGTTGTATAAATCAATACTGTGCAGTAGAGGTCTCCACGGATTCGGGTGAATCCCTCAGGTCCGGGTCGGGTCTTGTTTATTGTCATCGGGGCTCGGGTCTATGTAACTACAGCTGATAGACCCGAGGGGACCCGACCATGGCTCTGCATAGTCTATAGCATGTTTATTTTACGCTAAGAAGGTGAATTTATTGACTAATAGAAGGCCTAGTCAACATATAAAGACCTATATGTTAACCAGAAGGTCAACTTGGCTTATAAACAAAAAAAAACATTACACTCGGGTCTGGTCAGGTCGGGTCTAGGTTGTCTTTTCTTGGGTCCATACAGGTTTGGGTCGGATTATTGTCGGGTCCGAGTCCCCATTTTAATTTTTTACTATCGGGTCGGGTCTGATTGTCATCAGGTCCGTTCGGGTCCGGATCCAGGTCCAACATTTTGGACCTGTGAAGACCTCTACTGCGCAGTGCCTGAGACTGCAATTAGATTGCATCTTCTCAGAACACAGTCAGTCAACAACACAATACATGAAGCTGATGTCTTGCTGTGCTGTGTGTGTGTAACTAATTGACCCTGGCTTTGACCCTGTTTGAGTGAGTCTCTGTCTTGCTGTGCATTGTGTTGTGCAGGAAGGCCTGGGGGGAGGTGAGACCTGCTGAGGCAGGGGAGTTCACACGGAGGGCTTTCCACGTGGGGAAGCTGGGCCTGACGGAGGTGGAGGACCTGGGGGAACTGATCCACGCTGAGAGAGAGGCCCAGGGGAGGCAGGCCCTCAGGCAGATGGACGGGGAGCTAGGACTGAAGCTACAGACTCAAACGGGTAACATTCATCTTACATAGCAAAGATAGTTTTTTTCACATGTAACATTGGTTATTTGGAAAGTGAACTTCAACTGTCCTGTCCCTGCCTGTCTCCCCTTCAGTTCAGTTCTCCAGGACAGTTCAGTGCAACATCTGCAGACAGAGATCGAGAGACAACTAAGGGACGAGAGGAGAGGAGAAAGGCTATGCAGTGGTGTGAAAGTGGTCATAGCAGGAGCTAGCAATGCTGGGACGAGCAGCCTGCTCAACACACTCTAATAATAATACACACACACACTAAAAGTATTACACTAAATTTCCCATTGACATCAATGCATGAGTACACTTAGTCATACACCTACACTTATTTCTAGAGAATACACACCTAATACAATCTGCAGATGTCACACACGAATGACAATGACAAAAAAAAATGTTTTATCCAGAGCGACCTACAGTGAGTGCATACATTTTCATACTGGGGTCCCGTGGTAAACGAACCCACAACCCTGGCGTCGCAAGCGCCATGCACTACCAACTGAGCTACAGGGAACACCACATAGAGAAAGACTCCACACACTCACGATATGGCTTAAGTCCGATGTCCCTTGAGAGAAAATACAGTGGCTTGCAAAAGTATTCACCCCCCTTGGCATTTTTCCTATTTTGTTGCCTTACAACCTGGAATTAAAATAGATTTTTTGGGGGGGGTTGTATCATTTGGTTTACACAACATGCCTACCACTTTGAAGATGCAAAATATTTTTTATTGTGAAACAAACAAGAAATAAGACAAAAAAACTGAAAACTTGAGCATGCATAACTATTCACCCCCCCCCCAAAGTCAATACTTTGTAGAGCCACCTTTTGCAGCAATTACAGCTGCAAGTCTCTTGGGGTATGTCTCTATAAGCTTGGCATATCTAGCCACTGGGATTTTTGCCCATTCTTCAACGCAAAACTGCTCCAGCTCCTTCAAGTTGGATGGGTTCTGCTGGTGTACAGCAATCTTTAAGTCATACCACAGATTCTCAATTGGATTGAGGTCTGGGCTTTGACTAGGCCATTCCAAGACATTTAAATGTTTCCCCTTAAACTACCCAAGTGTTGCTTTAGCAGTATGCTTCCGGTCATTGCCCTGCTGGAAGGGGAACCTCCGTCCCAGTCTGAAATCTCTGGAAGACTGAAACAGGTTTCCCTCAAGAATTTCCCTGTATTTAGCGCCATCCATCATTCCTTCAATTCTGACCAGTTTCCCAGTCCCTGCCGATGAAAAACATCCCCACAGCATGATGCTGCCACCACCATGCTTCACTGTGGGGATGGTGTTCTCTGGGTGATGAGAGGTGTTGGGTTTGCGCCAGACATTTTCCTTGATGGCCAAAAAGCTCAATTTTAGTCTCATTTGACCAGAGTACCTTCTTCCATATGTTTGGGGAGTCTCCCACATGCCTTTTGGAAAACACCAAACATGTTTGGTTATTTTTTTCTTTAAGAAATTGCTTTTTTCTGGCCACTCTTCCGTAAAGCCCAGCTCTGTTGAATGTACGGCTTAAAGGGGTCTTATAGACAGATACTCCAATCTCCGCTGTGGAGCTTTGCAGCTCCTTCAGTGTTATCTTTGGTCCCTTTGTTGCCTCTCTGATTAATGGCCTCCTTGCCCGGTCTGTGAGTTTTGGTGGGCGGCCCTCTCTTGGCATGTTTGTTGTGGTGCCATATTCTTTCCATTTTTTAATAATGGATTTCATGGTGCTCCGTGGGATGTTCAAAGTATCTGATAATTTTGTATAACCCAACCCTGATCTGTACTTCTCCACAACTTTGTCCCTCACCTGTTTGGAGAGCTCCTTGGTCTTCATGGTTCCGCTTGCTTGGTGGTGACCCTTGCTTAGTGGTGTTGCAGACTCTGGGGCCTTTCAGAACAGGTGTATATATACTGTGATCATGTGACACTTAGATTGCACACAGGTGGATTTTATTTAACTAATTATGTGACTTCTGAAGGTAATTGGTTGCACCAGATCTTATTTAGGGGCTTCATAGCAAAGGGGGTGTACATATGCACGCACCACTTTTCCGTTATGAATTTTTTTGAATCTTTTGAAACAAGTTATTTTTTTCATTTCACTTCACCAATTTGGACTATTTTGTGTATGTCCATTACATGAAATCCAAATAAAAATCCATTTAAATTACAGGTTGTAATGCAACAAAACAGGAAAAACGCCAAGGGGGATAAATACTTTGGCAAGGCACTGTAACTGCGTAATGACATTTATGCAACTGTGTGTGTTTGGCGGCTGCACCACAGGGCTTCCTATCCGAATAATATATGTATTTATCAGACTTCAGAGAAAGTCCTGTTATTGTTTCCTATTGAGCTTTGTCTTTCCCAGGGCCTGACTCATGCCCTCAGCTCTGACACCGATTAATGACCGAGCCTGGCTGTCAGTTGTTTCACTGGGCAGTAGGGAGATAGGGATGCTACCATATAGAACTTCACACTACAGTATGTACGTACAGTTTCGCCGGACTAAATCTGAATTAAGCCATGTGAGTCTGGATGAAAATATCCCATGGCAGGAGACGGTTGATGTGTTTGTCAAGGATCTTATTTTGACGTGATTCCAAGATGATGAAATAAGATAGATATGGGATATAAAAAAGACCTAAAGAACAGTTTCGGTCAAAATACAGGTTCTATCTTAAACGGAGAAGAACGCCGGGCTTCCATTCCTTAGGCCCATACTTTTATTTTTTGTTATAGATGCGAATTTCACCGTTGCAAAGCAAAAATTCTGTGTGGGATTCTGTTTGTTCTTATGGTGGATGAGATCCTTGGTGATGACTGAGTTCTCTCTCCATCCCTATCTATTTCTCTCTTCATCCCTCTATCTCTATCCCGCTCTCTCTCTCCCTCATCCCTCTCTCCTCATCCCTCTCTCCCTCATCCCTCTCTCTCACCCATCCCTCTTCATCTCTCTCTATCCCACTCTCTCTCTCCCTCATCCCTCTCTCCCTCATCCCTCTCTCTCCCCATCCCTCTCTATCTCTCTCTCAAGCCCTCTCTCTCTGTCATCCCTCTCTCTCTCTCTCTTTCTCTCTCTTTCATCTCTCTCTATCTCTCTCTCTTTCATCCCTCTCTCTCTCTCTCTCTGTCTCTCTCCGTCATCCCTCTCTATTTCTATCTTCATCCCTCTCTCTCCCCTATCCCTCTCTATCTCTCACTGCAGCCCTCTCTCTCTCTCTCTCTGTCATCCCTCTCAATCTCTCTCCCCATCCCTCTCACTCATTGCAGGGACCACCAGGGATGTGGTGGAGACCACACTGGACATTGTGGGGTTCCCTGTCCTCTTTAGTGACACTGCGGGGTTTAGAGACAGCCTAGATAGTGTGGAGAGAGGGGTCTGCAGAGCCTGCCAGAGGTACTGTAGGTGCTTATCAATCAATCAACCAATCAATCAATATCAACATGTATATAGTACACCACATAATGTATGTTGTACAAGGCTTTATTGTCAAAATGGACATTTCATTTCAAGTAATTGAATATCTTTGTTATGTAGTTCACCTAAAATGAATACACTTAAAAGCTCTTAAGGATCGGGGACCCTTATTTCAACTTTCGCCTAAAATGACATACCCAAATCTAACTGCCTGTAGCTCAGGACCTGAAGCAAGGATATGCATATTCTTGATATAATTTGAAAGGAAACACTTTGAAGTTTGTGGAAATGTGAAATGAATGTAGGAGAATATAACACATTAGATCTGGTAAAAGATAATACAAACCAAAAAATATATGCGTTTTCTATTATAATTTTTTTGAATAATCTTTGAAATGCAAGAGAAAGGCCAGACAGTGATGTAGGGATATCAGTGTAATTTAGATTTTGTCCACAAGATGGAAGCATTGTGTGTGCAAAGTTTCAGACCGATCCCGTGAAGGATCTCTACACAATATTTTGTATCAAGTCTACTAGGACTTTTCCCAAATGTTCCGAATTGATCAATTTATACATTTTCAAGTACATAACTA